TTTACATATGAATAGTATTACACAAAAAAGACATGGATAATGATGATCTAAAGGATGACGTCGATCCCTAAGAAATCATATATGTCTTCTATGTTATCTATGTCATCTATAGCATATATTTCTTTTATATAATATATTTTTTTTATTTATTTTATCTTATTTATCTCATATATTTATTATATATTATTTATTTCATATATTTTATTTATTATATTTATTTCTTTTATATCTTCGATAACTTTATATTTTTCATTTTATATAAATAGAGGACCATTTCTTTTAGCTTAGCAATGTGTCTGACATATAGTTTTATATAATAGTTTAGTTTAATCCCTCTAACATAATTGTATAATAAAGAGCGCCGACTGAGGTAGTACTCCATTGTTATAGTTATTAAATAAACTGTTAATTTACTGACACTTTTCTAAATTTAAATATTAAATTAAACCTTCTGCTTACCACCCATAAATATTACTTCGCTTATCACTCATAAGCATCTTAAAGAACTGATCGTAACAATAGCGTTAAATTTTTTGGCAAAACACTTTTGACTGATCACTCGCTAGATTAATTTGCAATTCAGGATTGGTCCAGAAACTTTCATGTTTTACGATTATCATAGTATTAACTGCAAAGAATTGTTTTTTATAAAAATACTGAATATGATGGTAGTATCTCACATATGTTTTATATTTGATTATATCTTTAAACAGTCTTAAGAATCTTACTTATAACATCTTAAAAATCTCAAGGATGAATCAGTTAGAGACATGGAATTTTCAGAGCTAAGACTATGTTCAGAGTGATAATGAGATCCTAATGCTTCTTATCAAGGTGTTCACAGTACTTAGCTGTGGTCATGTTTTTTATAGGAAATGTATTGAGAAAATTTTTTTACTTACTCAATAAAATAACTGCCTTATTGATAATTGTATCATGATCATTAAGCCCATAATCACTGAACGGAGATTTTCTGTATTGTCTCAATTAAGTATTTCATCAATAGTTAGAAGAATGAACAATCAACTTCAGATAGAATCACTAGTAATCCAAGAAGAGAAGAGACCAGTTCAAGAAATGGAAGTGGATGAAGAGTTAAATAAAGAAGAATTAGAAATCCAACCTGATAATCAAAACTTTATATCTTCTAGCAGTAAAAATGGATTAGTGAAGATGCTAAGCTATAAGCCTCTGCTTCGTGTTCATTCATCAAAAAATGCCTAAGAAGAAGGCTAAGAAATTGATTAGAAGAGAAGATTCGTCTATCTTAAAAAGTTAATCAAGGAATTATCTGCTTCTATTCTATAGCAAATTTCTTCCGGTAGTATTATTTCTTTGCAGATGTTCCTTGAAATGGATGTTAATTCAGTTAATTTTTGTAAATTAAATGACAAAATCATCAAAGCTGAAGGCGATAATCAAAAAATTGTATTACAACTGATCCATAGCTATTACTATTTTAGGAAAGGATATAGGTTATAGTTTGATCATTATAAAAAAATGTATAGTGATGATACGTCTAATTCTCTAGTTAATAATAAAATTTGTAAGTGCTTTCCAGACCAGAATAAAACTTCAAAGGCTAATCTTAAAAAAAGAAAGGAAAAAGCAATAAAGATCTTTAAACTTTTTGATAAGGTTGGAGGGTAGATAAAATAAATTACATTAAGTCTTTTTCAGCGTCAACTATTTTGAGGTTAGACGTGGAGGATATTGACTATATATTAGTTAAAGTTTTAAAAGTAGGTCAGTGAAATTTACTGCGCATTTTTTTACTTAAGTATGAATATATATTTACAACTACCAAAGTTTTTTCAGATTTCAAATAAGTTAAATTTACTCATGTGTGATCGTCTGTTCACATTTATTGAAGTTTTTTCATTTTAATATTTTCTAGACATGTGTGGTAATTATTTCACAATAAAAATAATGAAAAAATAATAAAGTTTATGGAGTGAGTTATTTTTAACCAATGTATGCTGTATGTAGGTGATATGACGTTACTTTATTGTAGGACTCAATAAAAAAATAAAAATATATTGTATTATATGATCATGTATTACAGATTTAACTGAATTATAATATCAGAAGATCAATTCTATTAATCATGAGAGATCCACAGCTCCTTCAGCCTTCTTCAATTATAGAACTTTAGAAGAAAGCTTACTATTAATTTTTATAATGTGATCTTCCTTCCTTAATATATCGATTACAAGAGACAATATCCTAATAATAGCATATCTAGATAGTATATTTGTCAGATTACCTTTTTTAGAAAAAAGGAATTAGCATAGCTGAGATATAAAACCCTATATAAGCCTCCCGATATGGTTGTAATTAAATAAAAATGAATTTGATATTTTATTATAATATACTTATTACAAATTGTTATAATGATAAATATTCGCTAAAAAATACTATAAGTTTTATTTATTACGCATAATCACATATAATCATTAAATATATTCAGATTAATAGTTAAGATCATTTTAGATAATATATATAATAAAGCTGTATCTAAACCTATCAATTTCCGTCCTAGATATGATATAAAACATGTTACTAACTATTATCATAGTCATATAAATGAACAGTTTAAAAAAGTGATTAAAATAGAAAAACAATATGATTATTTATTTATCATTAGACTCTATTAAACACCTTAGTAATAGGATAATTATGTAAGAGGTTCTCTGCAAGAGTTGCTTTCTTTTAGAAAATATAGTTTATATCATGTATACAGCCTTTTCACTTCATTCGAGTAAGTAGAATCCAAAATATATTGTGTTAATGGTGAGTTATATGAAGACTACTTTAGCTATCATAGATCTAGTGTTCATAAAAGTCAGATGGCTATCTGTTTCAAATGCTGGAAATTGGTGAAGATTATTAAAGTAAAGCCTAGAAAAGTATATTATAATGGATGGTGTAGATGGGCTTATGAAGTTGAGTCTGAAGATTTAATGAAGAATTATTGGGATTGCTCTTGCTTCAAGGCTAAGACCGCAACTATAACAAAAAATACTATATCTAGTATTAAGCAAGAAATGTTTTCACCAACTTCTTATCAATCTTCAAATTGCAAAAATAATATAAGCAGATTATTTATTTCATCTCTATATGCAAACAAAATAATTTACTAGGTCCTCTTGGAACCTTACCATTCATAAACTATCTTAATCGGTCAAAAGACACTATGTTAAGATTGAGATGAAACAGAAATCACGATTGTTTAACTGGATGACTGACTGATTCTGAAAAATGTTTTAAATATAGACCATTACTTTATTGATATATAACTATTCACACATATTTTTTTTTGCATGATCTGCCTATTTCTTGATCAAGGTCTCAAATATTATCTTAATAAAAAATATGTATGCATCACCATGCTAAATGCCTTATGACTAATATTTCAACATGTATGACATAAATAAAATGTGTTTCTGATTTTTGTTAAAGTATATATAATGTAATAGTCTACAAATTATCTGTGAAACTATACTTGTACGATAAAATAATTTCACACATAAACTGATCCCTAAAATATTTTGAATTTTTTTCCTATCTATCTGAATAGCATTTATTTATGAGTTTATTTTCTCTGATGCTAGAGGCTATTTCTACTAGATTTTGACTAGAATATATTTATATAATGTTAGTAGACCTTTATTACTGAACGGTCGGGTAAGTGAAATAAAGAAAAAAAAGTATGTACATATATACCCTCAGCACCTTTGTAAATGTTGAGATCTTCAATGCACATTTCATATACACTTATTCTCTAATACGGGCATAAGACTCTAATGCATATTTTCCTGTCTCTCTCTCAATATGAATGCAAACCTAGAAGGTCGTAAATGAAACTATTTAAAAGGGAAGTATAGTGAAATTATTATACTTTTACGTTATTTTTTTACTTTGCCTATCAAGCTTTTCACTAACATTTAACTTCTTATTCTATCTAAACATGAAAGAGTTTCTTTTAACCAAAAAATCCCTTAATATCGTCAGAATATCCACAGCGTTATATATATGAGTAGAACAAGGTGAATAGACAGGTGTCCTTAAAAAGGAGGTGGAGAACTTTGAAAATATTTTGAAGTGAGTTTTAAAACAAGTCCCCTCAAATGATATTGAGCGAAAAAAGAAGCTTTGAAGTTTTGGTACTGGAAAAAAATTAGCGAAACAGGTAAGGCAGTAAACAATAATCATAGTGAATATGATGTCACATATTTCTTTAGGTTTCTAACATATTTATTAGTAAATGCGCTGTGTTCAATGTGATATCACTCCATATGGCAGTAACTAGTAATATATGCATAGTGAGGTTCCTTTTTAACTATACTTCTGCTAGTATTCTGATATCATATGAAAACAGAAATCTAATCTGATCCTGTGAAAAATACTTCGTTTAATTTATCAAATATATCATTAGCCTAATCTAAGATACTACATTTTAGGTGATGACTGCATTTGAAGATTTATGTTCGCTTATAGAGATGAAAGCTTTGGTAATAGATGCTGAATCATGGCCTGAAGATGCTAATGCAAACTTATAGCTTTTAAAACGTGATATTAGGTGGGCTATAAATAATACTTCTAGTTATGAGAAAATTATGTGAGAAAAAATTGAGACAGAATTAGAAGAAGTTGATGTTGAAAGCCTTGGGTTCGATCATCCTATATGTTTCAGAGTTCTTAATATTAGATCTGAACCTTTTACAGAGATGCCTGTTTCATTTTGTAATATTTTTAAGAAACCTTTTCAAGAATATAAGTTAGAATATAATAATATAATTTTGGATAGCTATAAGAAGTTTATTCATAATGAGAAGTCAAAAATAAATTTGAATGAAGATTTGCATGACGTGAAATTTGAAAAGTGGTTAGATAGTTCTGAAAAGCTTCAAGAAATAACAAGACGAATACTAGAGTCTTTGTAAGTTATTTTTTAGGTCATATCTTAGAATTTTGCTTTAACGCTTCAGCCAGTTCACATGATTTCTATCTACAATATTCTTTTGTAAGTATAAAGTTTAGAAATCGTCTAAGTATAAAGCTTATGTAAAGAAAATCTTCAGAAAGTGACGCGTGTTAATTCTAGATTCGACGTGATATATAGAATTAAAGCTCAAGAACTTATCAATAATTGGAAGGTGAGTTGGTAGTTACTGTGAGACTTTAGTCTGCAGTAAGGAACAGGAGGAGCTAGAACTTTTTAGTTTATAGTGGAAACCTCAACTCTTAGTTCGAGTGGTGAGCTCTTGGCTTAAAACCTCTTTTTATTTCCTTAGAAGGAGCTGTAACTCTTAGTTATAGTGAAAACCTCAACTCTTAGTTCGAGTGGTAAGCTCTTGGCTCAAAACTCCCTCAGTATATTTAATTGGAAACTTTCATTATAAAATAATTTACTAATACAGATTTCTATTTTGTCAAGGATTGGACTACCCCAGTGAAGAAGGGATATAAGACGAATCAGATATATAACAAGCTTGGAGTAGTACAGGCAAAGCAACAATTTAACGCGATTAAAAATTTCACAGATCAGGTTGATGTATTCCAAAATCAATTTGTTGATGATAGTTAAAAACGTCCTTATGATCAGACAGATGCTGCAACTCCACAGAAAAAAAAGGTGAGACCACAAGTGAAGTTGTTTTTATAATAAATAACCATTAACATGTTCTATGGGGTTGCCAAATATTAGAATAAAGTTCATAAAACTAGTTCTTTCCCATCCGTTGATGAAATTAAAAATATTGTAACTTTGAAGGATTTAATCAATCGATTAAGACAAATAAACTTAGGTTTAATGGAAGATGACTTTGAAGTCCTCAGCAACAATGGAATAATTGGAAGAACTTCTCTTCTGTTAACTGAAAAAAAACTCAAAAGTCGTGACGTGAAGTTAGGACCAGCAATGAATATTGCTTATTCGGTTAACAAGCTTAAGAGGCATAAATCTGGCAAGTAATTGTAATATTATATTGTGATTATCGAGCTCTCTTCCTAACTTTATATTATTAATAGATGCTAACGAACTTGAAGCGAGTGGAGGTGAAGATATGTCAGGTATTTTTGTTTTATTCTGAATCGTTTCATAGAAAGCATATTTAACAAAGATTATTTGTAAACCAGATTCGCCTCCCCAAGCCACTAAATTCGACCAAGAAAAGTTCCGTGAAGAAATTCGTGCTGAAATTTATTCTGAAGTTCATTCCGAAATTTGTGCTGTGATAAAAAATATTAAAGATGATCTTAGAGACTTATTAACTAATACACAATCATAATTCATAATTTGTTTGGCTTCTCATGTATTAACTGTAGCTGAACTCTATAATTTGTTTATTGTATAATTTGCTTATTTGCGGGAAAGTTAACATTATTTATAATAAGAATTAAGTAGTGTATTTATAAACTAGTATTATGAAGAAATGTAATAATCATCTGATACAATGCAATCTTCATAGTCTTACTTTTTTTATTAATAAAGCATTTATTTCAATCACTTTTACAAAGAAATTCAGCGACCTTGAGTTATTAAATTATGATATATGGCTTCAAGTTCAAAGAATGAAAAGGTGAGATCAAGCGAATTCGAACTTTTACAACATCAACACTAGCGAATATGTCTCAGGATGATATTGATTATGTAATAGCTAAAGTTTGCCTCCCTTGAAGCTTTGCTTCTTTGGGAGAGATTGAATATTCGATTAGTTTTTAGGACTAGTTAACAAAATCAGTTAGACATCATATTTACTATTCCACCCTGAAACCTTTAAGGGAAAGCGAACCAGTGAAACTTACTGCGCATTTTTTACTCAAGTGTGAACATATTTTCATAGCTACTGAAGTTTTTCCGAATTTCAAATAAGCCATATTTACTTATGTGTGATCGCCTATTCACACTTGCCGAAGTTTTTCCATTTTAATATTTTCTAGACATGTGTGGTTATTATTCCACAGTAAAATAATGAAAAAATAATAAAGTTTATATGGCGAGTTATTTTTAACCAATGTATGCTATATATAGGTGGTGTGATGTTACTTTATTACAAGACTCGCCAGAAAGATTTTATTATATAATTAACTGGTAGATCCTATCCTATTTCTATTAGTTGGAAATGCAAAGCGTCTGGTTAATCCCCTGTTAATCACGAGAGATCTACAAACTGAAAGTAATGGGAGAGCGTTGAGGACTAATGAGGTATTGAAAAGGAGTCAGGTATATTATAATACAAAGATGAACAAGTTGTGTATATTATTTTGGATCTAATTTAACTGAATCAAAAAGGTTATAAATATGTTTTCACCCTGAAGAATAAAAATGAATCCGATATTTTATTATAATATACTTGCTACAAACTGCTATAACAAGAAATATTTGCTAAAAACGCTATATATCACTAAAATTACTATAAGTTTTATTTATTGTCCGTAATCATATATAATCATCAAATATGCCCAGTGCAATGGTTAAGATCATATTAGATAAGATTTATAATAAAACCATACCCAAACCTATCAATCTTCGTCCCAGATATAATATGGAATATGTTTTTAACTATCGACCTCAAACTGATAACTATCGGTATGAAAAAGTGGTTGAAATAGAAAAACAATACGATCAT